AAATCTTTTGATCTGATGATGCCTGATACCTGATCCCTTTGACACCTCGCGATCACGCAGGCTGGTGTGCTTCTTCCATGTGGGCTTTGTTGCTTCTGAGCTAGATGGCCGCTTGTTTACCTTCAAGCCTTTAAGACGCCAGATGCTGTATCTTTTGATAGCCGGGCACCATCAGTAAAGCACTTCTTAAAATGAACTTTTAAAAATGGTTTTGTTCTTTTAAAATACTTGTAGACTTACAGAGAAGTCGTTAAACCAGTCTAGAGTTTTCCCATATACTTTTGACCCAGCTCCCTTAAATGCTAACATGTTGCTTTAACAAGAGTACCGTGATCAGCACTAAGAAATTAGCATCCTGATTAACCTGGCCCTGAGTGAAATCCTGGGTCAACCCAGGGCTTATCCTTCAGTGGATCTTCAAAGATGAGGGATAAGCCAGATTTGTCCGAAGTGGAGAATTTTGACAAGTCAAAATTGTGAAGAAAAAAAGTCTCCCTCAAAGGAAGCTATCCAACAGGAGAAAGAATGTGTGCAAACATTGCAAAACAGGGACGTTCTCCCAGGAGCAAATTGCAACATGCTTGAGTGTTGTCTTAGTTTGATAGACTTCGTGTTGTAAACCTATGTAGAGATTGTAGGAATTTTCTGATATCTTCTCCATATTCTTTGGCTGAGGGCAGAAGTAGCCAATGATCCATCTTCTTTGCCTGAAAACTTCTCATTGCTGTGTCAATCTCACATGGCCCATGCTATCGATGATCCGCCATGTACGAGCTTGTGTGTGTGCTTCTTGCCTTCCCTACAAGATATGCCATTTTCAGCCGCCAACGGGTACCTCCGTCACTCAAAAAGCTCCATGACATTGCATGCTTTGCCTGCTTCTTATATTTCCATTGCTAATGTAGCAATAAAATAAAAATATAATCATTAGAAAAAAAAGAAGAAATTAGGATCAAGGTACGTAGGCGGTAGGCTTTCTTCCACTCTGCTCAGGGTTTCTCCACTGATGTTCTTTGTCTGCTCCAGGACCCACGCCAGCCTTCCACATTGCACTCAGTGTTGCCATGCCTCTTTCTGTGATTTTATAGGGCCGCTTCCTTTGTGTTTGTCTGATGTCTCCATGTGAGTCGTGGGAAGGTGATGTATTGGACAGACATAACCCTCTCACTGCTTCTAGCAGGGAACACGTGACGTCAAGGTGTCCTGTTACTGGCTGGCTTTCAGTTGATGAAGGTGCCGTCTGCCGGGTCTCCTTATTGTGAAGTTACTGTTTTCCCCTTTGACCTGAGGAAATATCTTGGAGGAGATAAAGTGACAAGCTTAAATAACCTGTTTCTCCTCATCTTCCACCACCTCCCACCCCCAATTTCCATTGAATTCGGGCTAGACAGATAAATCCTGTCTACAAAAACAAACTGCATGGTTTCAATGATGATTTTTTTTTTTTTGGCTCATTCTTCCCATATTTCTTAATTGGAATTTTCTGTGAGGATGTACTGTTTTTTCTTTCCCATTAATTTATTCATTTAGACATTGATTTAAGACACTATAGAGTCGCGGGTATTTATTTTATAGATTCTATAATTCAGTATTGTCCTCGTCTACTCTGATTCAGAAACCCACCCATTGCGGAGGAACTGATTCAGAGTCAGAACAAGCCTCTGCGTGGTCTCCAAGCATTTGTAACTAGTTACGGGAGCGCACAGCCTGTCTTCCTCCTGGGGATCAGCTGCTGGGCTTGAACCTCGGACCTTGAGGTTATCAGTCTAATCTTACAAGACAGTGCCACTAGGGCTCAAAATGAAGGTATTTTAAAAATACCAGTGCCTGGGCTCTCTCCAAATCAATTATACCAGAATCTCTAGGGGTGGACATTATGCAGTGGTATATATTTAAAGCTCTTCAGACACTAAATGTTAAGTTCTTCACCCTCCCTACCCGCTTGCTTTGAAAAATAAAAATATTTCTTCATATCTTTCTCTAAGTTTTGTGCCTTTGTTAGATTTCCCCGGGAGAGAAATACCTGGGTCCTTGGCTTTGTGCGAGAAAGAATTCATGCCGAAGCCTGGCTTGTGCTCCAAGTGAGTTCTATAAAGGTTAGAAGCAGTCTCAGGGGGACCGCGCACAGTCACGCTGGACTGTGTGGCAGCCGCTGGGAGAGAGAAAACGCCTGGCTTTTTAGGGCCCGTTGGGAAGCCTAGTCCTACGATACTGGTCGACCCCATGGGCTGCATCAAATTCAGCTGGCCCAGCTGGGCCAATCCAGGTGTACCGCCCACCTAGGTGGACCACCCCTTCCTGGCCAGGAGCTTGAATGGAAGCATTGTCTCCAGCCTTACCCATGTAGAGGAACCTTAGTTCTGCCTCTAGCTACATAACACCTTCACTGGCCTTTGGGTGCTGATGATGGGCTGCTGCAACACCCCCACCTCCATGCCCTCAGCTTCAGCTGACCGCAAACAGGACCCAGACCACCGGAAGCCTCTCTTTACAACAGCCTCCTATGGCCATTCTGCCGATGTTTGTAGTCATCTGTTTGGGTGTCAGGTGATGGAAGGAAAAGCTATGGTCTCCTTTAGGGGAGCCAAGACTGGGAACATTTCCAAGGGATGAGAACTTTAAACTAGAAGGGGTTTCCAATTGCTATGGTGGAGTCTGCTGAAGGCTGCTCCCCGGGGTGAGATGTCCCGCAGTCTCACCAGGACTTACACAGCACTCTTCTGCTGGCTGGACTGATGTTTGAAGTGTGGAAAGAACCCTCATTTACACAAATGGCTTATTTTGACACTGTTGGAATCATAATAACGAAATATGTTGACTTAACTCTCCGTTTAGGTGATCAATGTAGAGCCAGATGGGGTTTCACTCAAAGACATGGTCTTCCGGAATAAGGAAATTGATCCGATAGCATCTTTTACCTGGCTTCCAATGACCTTCTATTCCTGGGTGCCAAATCAATTTCAGGATATTTTTAGAAACCTAATTGTTTCTCTAGTCAGATTGATGCCAATAATGTGCCCCAAATGTAGATGAATCAGAATTAAACCCTGATTCATGATGGAGTAAAAGCTTAACCCATGGCAGCATGAATTTGTCATAGTTTTCAAAACTATGTCACACGAATCTGGAGAGGTTTGCCTTCTGCCTTTGAATTCCTTTCTCTTCAGAGTGGCCGATTCCCACCTGTATGTTTCCTAGCACGTCTTTTCTATATTAATAACTCTGGATACCACAATTGAAAGGGGATTCTCATTTCGAGAATAAGTAAGTAGGTGAAATTTATAATAAATAAACAGGATAAAATAGGACCCACTGCTTTCCTGTAGAAATGGGAGACATTCCAGGCGAGCATAGTAGTAATGCAAAGTGTTAATTCAGCACTACAGCGAAGCCAGGGTGTTGAATGTTTAAATGATGCATGCCAAAAATAAATCTCTCTTCCTGGAAGAACACTAACCTAAAGGAAAGCACCTCAAAGGTGTATTGTTGTCAGAGCCACAACCCCAACACCCTTGATAAAAGACTTCGATCCCTGCCTTCCCGGAAAGTTGCTGCTCTGAAAGCCATTTGTTTATCGATCACCTCTGAGGAAAACAAACAGATCTCTAGCAAGATGAGCATCCTTGAGAAACCAGGTTACTGTACTTGAGTAGAACCAAGAGGTTAACAAGAAGGTTGGCAGCCTGGGCCATTTCTCTTCTTATCTACAGGGTCAAATGCTGAGGGTCGCTCAAGGCAAAGAAGTTTGACTACAGAAGTCTTGATCAGTCTTATCACCCAGATTTCAAAAGACGGATGGATAGGTGGATAGACCAGCTTGGAACAGAGACCAGTCCCTGAAACCAGAGCCCTTCCAGGTTAAATCTTTCAGTAACTCAACAGTGAGAGCCTGCACCCACCCTTCCATATTAATCTTCTGTGCACTACCTTAAAGAAGTGAAGAAGTGTTTTTTCATTTGTAGAAGATGTAGGAATAAAGAGCTGGAAATTCTTTCGGGCTACCAGGCAACACCATAAGGACTGAGGATTTCCAACGTATTTACAAACTAGAGAAAACCCATGACGTGTCTCATGGCCTCCTTTTGCTCCCACGGGGTCAAGGCAGGGCCTTCAGCTTTCCATATTTGAGGGGACTTTAGGCTTGCGATTAACTTGCTAATGCCAGAAAATTTCAACAACAGAAATTTTCAATGTTTTTCTTAGCAACTCCCAAGCATTGTTCTAGGAACAAGACACAATGATAGTGTGGGGACGGTCAACAGAGAGCAGCAGCGATTTCAGAGTGCTTGGTGCCATGACAAGCAGTCAGAGAACGAGGGAGCAAGACAGGTCGTCATCAGACAAAGCCCGTTAGGAGAGGGAATGGCTTAGTTGATACCCAACAGGTGAGCCATGGGCATTTACTGCTTGGCAGAATGTCCCAGGCAGGTGCCAACTCTAAAGTGCCAATGCCTCACAACAAGACTTAGGTTGGCAGAGTTAATGACCAGAAAGGCCTATGGCACAGTGGACAAGGTCGGGTGGGTTAGAAGATCCTGGAGAGGACAGAGGACACTGATCGAGGATCAACTTGCAGAACATGCTCTTAGTATATGAGAAAGTCTCTAGACGTCTTGTAGGGGGTGGTGGGATGGGCATAAATTAGATCTATGTGTTGTTTCATAAACAACTCTGTAGCTTCTTCTGGTAAATGGAGTTTCTTTTGAAAATGGGAGCTGAGTTGGGTCTAAATGAAATATAGTGTCAAATCTGAAACCTATAGCACACTGCTAATCTCCTTGTCTGCTAATGATGGTCACTCCATTTATTTAGCCAACTCAAAATCTCCCCACTTGTCTATTGCTTAAATATTAGAAAAACTATTTCCTGAAATTCATTTAACTAGAAAAGATGATCTGTGCTTATCAGCTTATTAAATATAACACCTTGTTTTAATGAGTCCAAGGGATTTAGAGTGGTTTTGTTTTGTTTAATCACTTATCTCTTTTTTTCACCCACAGGGATCCCAATCACCCTTCAGTACCTTATCATTATTACGAACCTCTTGGACCCGATGAATGTACCATGTACCTTTCACATGAGCGTGGACGGAAGGGCAGTCATCACCGCTTCATCACAGAGAAACGAGTCTTTAAGAACTGGGCACGGACATTCAATATTCACTTTTTCCAACCTGACTGGAAACCAGAATCGCTAGCTATAAATCACCCTGAGACTAAACCTGTGTTCTGAGGAATGAACAAGCCAGTCTCAAGTACCCAGCGTCTCAACTACCAGAGGCATTGATGCTGCCAACGCTAAAAACATTTTAGATATCTTTAAATATTGCCTTCGACAGAAACATGAGCAGCTCAACCATCTTAGTTGCAGTCCTTTATAGAAATACCACTTCAAAAAACTTTTTTTTCTAAGAAGCTATGTCCTAAACTGATCTACAGTCTTTGTCATCTGTTGGAGTCTGTATGTGTAATTTCTCAAAAGCTGCCTAAAAAGCGTGGACATGATTTCTGAAGAGCACATCTCCACTGACTTTCATAAAGCAAATGTTCGATATTTTATTTATTGAAAGTTTTTTAGTGCACTGTAGGCCAGTATTTTTATAGATTATGATTATGTGGTAATGTACGCTTTCTAATCTTTTAATCCCGAATGATGGTGGGGAAGGCCTGGCATTGGGGCGATGACTTGCTGTGTGCATAATGCTTGTTGTAGCATGTCATTGGCATTTTGTTCGCAAGTGTTGTGCTGCATTTTTGAACCCCATTGACTTCGGGATTTTCTCTTTCATAGCAAGAGCAGGTAGGACGTTTTCCAATGTGCAGAAGTGCTTTCAAAATGACAAAATTGAAAAGAAAAAAGTAATTATTTTTTAATGCCAACAAGAGAAGTTGAAGGAAAGTTGGGGGTTTTTTTAACAGTGAAAATTGATGTCAATCACTTCACTTTCTTAGGCCCTAATTTCTTCTTGTGCAGAATGATGTCAATATACCACATGACAATGTAAAATTCTATGAGCCTCTTATTGATCTATTGAGAACCTTGCACTTGAATGAAGGACTCCAACATTAGCAGGCCATTATTCTTGGAACCCTGGTGGCACAGTGTTTAAAGCACTCCAGTTGCTAACTAAAAGGTTAGCAATTAAACCCAGCAGCCATTCCGTGGAAGAAAGACTTAGCAATCTGCTTCCCTAAAGATTTACCACTTTAGGGTTGTCCTATAGGATTGTTTTGACTTGTAATTGTCTCAAAGCAGTGAGCTTGGCTTTGTATTGGTTTGTATTTCCCTACTACTTATTCCCTCTCTTGTGGTTTGAAAAGCAATCCCCCTTGGCCACAATCTACCCCCTGCTTATCGTGTGATTCTTGCACGAAGGCAAGGGAAAAAAAACAAAAAACCTACATGGACCCTGGCTTCAAGAGCAAGGAACTACAATTCCAAAAGTAGATGATAATTCTAAGAGATTTTCTATCAGACTATTGTGTATCTTATGAACTACTCAAACCCACTCAGTGTATATCTTCTTAGGCTTTATCCACGTTCATTCTTTGGTCTAGATGAATATGAAGGAATTATTTCATTCAGAGCTAAGATCAGAGAGTTCAATTTTTTTCTTTTAAACAGGTATTGTTCTTCATTGGTCTTTTTGAAAATATACCACTACTTCTTTACATGTGGCCTAGAAGGTGTTAGTTTCTCTAGTGCCAAATTGGAAGGCACCCGCAAAAACACTTGTGTATGTGTAGACCTACACTGTTTAACAGAACATGGTCTGGCTTCTGATTAACGCTTCCCCAAATGACCACATCTTTTTTCTTTCCTTAATTGTATTAAAACTCAATTTCTTTGCATTAACTGCAAGAAAGGAAAGTACTATCGATTATGAGGGGTACTGTTGTTGAGATGCAAACAAAGTTCCCAGCGTCACAGAGGAAGAGGAACTTGATATCCTTGTGCTGTAGTCTGAGCTGTTAAAAGCCAGTCACGTTGACAAATCTGTCCAAAACACAGTAGAATGTGATCTTTGAAAGCCCAAATCATGTTTTAAAGGGACGATAGATTTTTATTTCTATATAATCTCTTGGGTAAGATGAATTCTGCTTTAAGAACTTATGAAAGATCATGTGAATTTTATCCAATTGATTTGTAGGTAATTTTTACCAGTGTTGGAAGCGAATATGTTGCTTAGATGTCAATGGATCCTTTGACAATGTTTGTATTTATGGAAATTTGTAAAGGCATAGTTGTGACATGCAAGAGTGTAGCTATATTACCTAAGCTACCCCTGTCTCAATTGTCTATGTATCTGTAAGCTACAGGTTAAAAAAGCCAACAAAATTCCATCCTAATAATGCTACCTTTTTCATAACTACACTCCTCGCAAATAATCAAGAGTTAAAGGCAATCAAATTCTGATATCCCTGATTTCACTGGGAAATGTTCTAAGTCTACGTGTAGCTAGGATATGTAAGTCCCTGTTTTAAAAATACAGTGTAAATAAGTGCATTAAATTCTCATTTAGGCAGTGGTTTTAGTACAGCATTTGTCTTTAATGCCTCAAATTCTGATAGATTGTGCTGATGGATCTGGTTGTGGGCAATTGAATTCCTGTCTTGACACTATTATTTCCTGACTGTCAGTCTTAACACCACTCAATACCATTAAGCATAAACTCTGATATAAAAGATGACTACAGAGCCATGTTTACAGACCTCAGTGATTTCAAGATCCATATTGTGTTTGAAGCCTAAACCCTACTCATTATGCTTCATACCTTTTTCTTCTCTCCCCAGCTGTGTCATCAGCTTCCTTCCAGCTTTTAAGACCATAGTAATACAATGCCACAGCTGGCCGATCCGTGGCTTCTGTTATTTCAACGCAAGAACATTTGGCAGAGGCCATTACAATAGATAGCCATTATGGGCAAAGATACAGGGAGGCACAAACAAAATCAATCACTTCAAATGGCCCATAAACAGAGGAATCTCACATTTAATATTCTACGGTAAATATTCACCCAAGAAAACGTACATTAAAAGAACATTAGGAGGTAAATATTCAGTGTGCTGCATGGGGACTTAGCTGTGTGATTTCCATTAAGGTTAATGGGTGTTGGCAGCTAAGTCCCAGCGCTTCACTGACCCTGGATAGACTCCTAGGGGCTTGACATAAAGGCGAGCGATTTGGAAACTGCCAAGGTCCCCAGATTTCAGACTTAGATTTCCTCTTTGAGATAAATAAATAAATGAAAGCAAACCCCACAAATTACGGTGGCTTAAAAAAAAAAAAAGGCGTGCTGTCTCTTGTATTCCTTGGTTTACAGCCAGGCTTGTGAGCCACGTTCAAAACCAAACACCTCTCAACAGGATGGCCTTCGCTTCCTGAAGTTTCCTCTCCATTACTGACTTATTTGCATTATAACAGGAGAGAAAGCCTCATTTTGAAATAAAACCTCCTCTCATTTTTTTTTCTTCTTAAGAAGCTCAGTAAATATGGATGGAAAAGGTTAAAATGGTTAGCTAGTATGAAGAGAGTAAGCTCCTATGAGCCTATCTAAAACCTGCCCAAATATTTGCCCATGTGTAGGAATGACCTTTCAAATATGTGTACCCCAAGTTATATATTTGGGTAAATGACTCAAATTGTGAAACCTTCCCTCTCTAAGAGAAGGATCTGTTTCTTTCCCCACCCCCACCCCCTTCTCTAATGTTAGGAGCCTGGTGGCGCAGTGGTTGCAAGTTGGGCTGACATCCCAACATCAGCAGTTCAAAACCACAGCTGCTCTGTGGGAGAGCGATGGGGTAGACAGTCTCCTTGTTCCCCAGCAGCCACTCCACAGGAGGACCACAAGGCTTTCTGTACCTTTAAAGATGAACCGGCTCTGAATCCCACAGGAGCAGTTCGACTCTGTCCTTACTGTGTCGCTATGACTTGGAAGTGACTCGCAGACAGTAGAACTTGTTGATTGATGAGTTGGAATCAACTAGATGGTGGTAGATTTTGTTTGTTTGGTTTGGGGTAGTGGGGCGCGTTCCCCAGGTAGCACAAACAGTTTGTTCAGCTACTAACCTGAAAGTTGGTGGTTGGGGCCCCCTCAACCCCAAAGGTGCTTCAGGAGAAAAGCCTGGCAATCTGCTTCATTAATATTACAGCCAGGAGAGCCTGGTGAGCAGTCGCACCCTGGGGTTACCCTACCAGAAGAGCAACTCAAAGAGAATTCGCATACTAGGGTGCTGGGGGCAGGAGAAGGGAGCCAATTGTCTGCGTCCTACATGCCAGAGCTCTTCTGGAACAAGGAGAAGTCAGAGTGTCTTGGAGGCCCAAACATGAACAGGAGTACCCCTCTCCACTAGCTCATTCATCCGACCGACTCAGGGTATTGAGCCAACATGGAAATGCAAAAATGGCTGGCCTCCTGTCTGTTACTAGTCAGTGCCCTAATATGACATGCTCCCTTGGATGGTCCTTTTGTCTTTGAATATGTGTATTTGTCCTTTGAATTGAATGAGGGTGTAAGCTCCTTGAAGGCAGGGACTACTTCTCCTTTTTCATTGTAGACCCAAGTACAGTGCCTTGCTTACCAAAGGCACTCAATAAACGTCTGTTGTTGATGATAATCTCTTAATATGGACCCTTTGGATCGGCCATCAGGTATAAAGACATTCTTTTTCATTTAAAAAGTATAAAGTAGGAGACAGAGTCTGTGACAAAGTAGTTAAATTATAAAGTAGGAAAGACTTAAGTGAGCTCTTATAGCATCAATCCTTAAACCTATAATGTTTTTAATCAACAGAGCTGACCTAAATTTGGGTAGGATAATGTTGCTGAATTCATTAAGTTTGCAAATACTGGGTGTACTGAGCACACAGGGGAGGTCAAGTTCAGCAAGCTTTGTGTTCTCACGGTTAGCGAGCTGCTCTTAGCACAAATTAAAGTTAATATTGACCATTGCCATTCCACCCACCGGAAGGTAGCGCGTGCTCTGACTTCCGTAGCTCAACTCAAAAAGTGAGTCTAACATGAAAGGACTTCTCTCCTGTCTTAAAACTGACAGCATCCTAAAGCTGCTGGGGATACACCCTGTGGTCGCTGAAGGTAAAGAAAAACGAAGCACACCTGTATCTTAAAAACCCAATGCAGCCTAACCCAGGCCCCTCACCAAAAAAGACTGTTTCCATGAGGCAGATCCAGCATGCTTTCATGTGCACCAGAATGTGAGGGAAAGGACAACCTTGGGGGAAGCAGGGCTTAGACTGCCCCCGAGTCTCCCTCGTTAGCCTTATGGGTGTCTGGTAACCTTCAGCTTCCAGGAGGGCGGGACTGCATCCCCTCGGTCAAGGTGAGTCGGCTGTCAAGGAGTACCTTATACAAGGGAACATAAGCTTGACCTGCGTGTATATGTAGACACTCCACATTTCCTAGCTCTGTGTCTACAGTTTCACGTACTTTAAAAATTATGACGGCCGTTTCCTGGTGTAAAGCAGAGGGGAGGCAGAGCCGGCATGCTCATAAACTAAAGTAGCCGTTATCTCTGCATAGATTAGATAATCCCATATTTTCAATAAGTTTATGATGGTCATAAAGTGATATTTTATAAAATATGAAGAAAGGCACGGTGGTGGGGTTTTAAGCAGAATCTCAGCAGGGACGTTAGGGGAAACCATCTCTCTTTCGCCATGTCCAGCTACACTAGGGGACTGCCTTGGCTCCCTCCGTAAAGCCTCCCAGGTGCTGCAATCTTCCGTTCTTGACCATGTGACTGCGCTTTAATTCCAAAACCAATGATAGGAAAGCCAGCAGACTGAATCAAAGTTTCAGGATGATTGAATCAAACCTCAGTGATTATTTTTCATTTACTGAACCATTCCTGGGTTCTTGGCAGTGTCCTTGGCTTTATAGGAATTATTGCACATGAGCCCTTTTATTCCATTTTGCAGAGAAGCAAACTGAGACAAGAAGGTTGTGTGTGCATCTGGGTCCTTCTGGTCACATCTCCACTGGGAGCCAAGTGAGAGACAACACATGGCTTGCCATTCACCGGGTAGGCTTGTTAGTGGTTAAGTAAGTTGTAAGTTAAGCTTTCCTATTTT